ACCCCCGGGGTTTACACAGACGAGCCGGCGAAGCAAGAAGAGCGCCAGAAGAAAGGGCCCTAGCCGGCCGGGCCCAGCCAGGACAAAAGGAGGTCCCACAAAGCGCATACACCGGCCGCATTTGTGGTCGGGGTAGACGACGGATGGGGCCCACCTACGAAGGCTGTCCAGGCCTACACGAGATTAGGCAGGATAAAGAGGGTTAATCCCCCTCGATCCCAAATCATTGAGGCCAATTTCTAGCCATGGAATAATGGCGCGTGTAATTGTAGAAATTACTTATAGTTTTTGCCGCTAGGGTCGCTAGTGTTCCTTGTATATCGACATATTTTCCATCCCTCACGAGGCTGCCCAGATAAGGCAGGACAAAGAGGGATAGTCCCCCTTGTTCTCAAATTATCGAGGCCACGTTTAACGCCAAAAATAACGGCGCGACATATTTTCATTATTTATTCATTTATCTAATTCACAGTAGCCTAGATTATTTATTTTAAAATTTTTAACATAACACAAGAACGGCATGATTGATTTTTAATTCAAACTGCCGCTTTCTTTATCTCTCCTCCACTATTTCGGTACACATATGGAACACTAACGCCCTCTAATCTCTAATTTGGTAAGATATTTGTTTACATGGAGTTCGTGCTCCTTGTGTAGCCTCCAATATTATACGGACGGAGTCAAAGCTCACAGTCCGTAAAAAAGACGGTCTAGTAATAGACAGATATTATGTCATAAGATTTCTAACTTTCAGGATTCATCTTTGTTTACATATGACTTAACCAGTGATTTTGCATTTTCCCAAGTATTCAACTAAATCCTTCAGAGTTTGAGTATTTTGCAATAATTATTGTAATCATTATTTTTAAAATTTAAATGTTCGCGGGTTAAGTGTCAAACGATTCCGTAGTTCCATTGATCTATGGGTCGATGGTAACAAGAGGAAAGGTATTAGTAGTAGTTCAGTTCTTACCAGAACCAGTAGTTCAGTAATCTGTGTTTCTTACACAGTATAGAAAAACAGTAAATTCACTGCCTATCTAACCTATTTATATATAAAAAAAAATGGACCCTAGTTTCATTTTTATGTCGCTTTAATTGACTGCGCAGAGACACGCGCAAGTAGAGGAGCCTCAAAAGCTGAAAGCTGAGCTGGACATGTTGGTGGACTAGGAGTTGGGTTTGCTATTGCGCATAGACCATGCGTCCCTTTACTGGACTTTTATTAGAGCAGTGGGGTTGTGGCCCACAAAAGAGGGGGAGTTAATTTAGGTACTGTTTTCTATACTGTGGTGCTTATGAGATGAACGTAGTGCTTTTTACGTTCTTTTTGTGTTCTGAAAAGCAACTGAAACCTTCCAAACCAAACGAAGAAAGATATAAGAAGTTTTCGAAATGTTTGCGTCAAAATTTTTTTAAAATGTCGATTATCTCGAAAACGGTTAGATTTAGATACAGGGAACTTTTAACAATTTTACTTATTTCTTTTATCTTGCCGATAATGCAGTAATATATAGGGTGTTCCATTCAAAATAACAAAGTTGACAGCTTCTTTCGGTATGACCGAAAGCGTTACGGTTGGTGGCATTATTCATTGAAGAGAGCATATTTGAAAATCCCCGTATACAAAATTTCAGACTCATATCTTTGGTTTCTTTAAAACGTGTAATATGCCACTATTGTACACCTATCCTATACCTACAGAATAATAGAAATTGACCAAATTTGAGAAATTTTCTGGTTATGACCCATCTTCTGTAATGCATAAAATATAGCTTTTGGCGATAGAAATAGGTAAATTGTCTATATCTTAATTTATCACGGTAACCACAGTACTGACGACTATTCTGCAATAATATATTAAAGCAACACTTCTTTGTACATTCCCTCCCTTCCCTTCCATTAATTGCAGTTAAAAATAGTGCAATTAGATACCATTAAAAATAGGACTAGTTATCGTTTTGCATCGTAGTACAGATCTTAAACAATGGCCTCAACGTTCCGTGTTTTAAAAACATTTTATAGAACACCAGTAAGTACCATTTAATTTGTTTTTTTTTAGTGTTTATGGTACCTATTTAATGAAATCAGATAAAAGGAAAACTTTAACAAGTCACCTTGTAAAGTAGATATCCATTATTGAGAACACAACAGATATGGTAGAGAAAATTATTAATTAAGATTAATATTAAAGCAAAATAATCACTTTTAGGGCCCAGAATTTAATTTTGTTTTTATTCAAGTGGAATGATATAGATTAATAGAATAATTTCAAAATTTTTGAAAAGGGGTACATTATCATATTTTCTTAATGGGAGCTTGAGAAGGTCTATAAAAAAATATTTTTTTTGGTGCATAAATAAAAATTGATTATTTTCTGAATGGAGAAAACAAGTCGGTATATTTATTAATACGTTATGGATGGTATTTTCTTCCAAAATGGAGTAGTAAGTGCAATTGGTGCATCTTTTTGGATTAAAACGTTTATAGGAAGCCAAAAACGAATATGTCAGTAGCATAGCCACCGCATAATAAAAAATGAGGTTTTATTTAAAAAGAAAATAGGGAGCGACTTCGATCTTCTATTTGAAAAGGAAAATATTTACAGTGCGATATTACGTCTCTCAGTAACCATCATCAACTTCATTTTGAATAGAAACCTATTAATGTTTTAGGCTATCGGATTTCTTCGGAGTACAATAGTAATACATACAGGGTGATCCATTAACGGTACGGAACGGCTGTAAGTAGGAAACTAGGCGTGTTACAATTATGGGGTAGAAAATCTATTAAGAAATACGGACAAAAGAAATTTATTTAAAATATTCTCAAGTTTGTAACTACACCACTAGGGAGTGCAACTGCTATAGTGTTACAGAAAATTGTCGTTTTTTCGAAATTTCGCTGATATAACCAAAGTTGAAAATACCATAGTCAGATACACTGTTAAACCCTTCATAAGTTTTGTTTGAACTTTCTTTTATTATTACCATAGCGACGCTAGTATGAAGGACGCCATTTTGAAATTTTTAAATTGTCATATCTTCAAAAAGCCTTAATTGAAAAAACAAAAGAGATGTTATAATTTCTATTATTGAGATGATTTACCTACTTATTTTCACGGTAATACTAGTAAGACATTAAATTAATTACGCACACATTGTTGTAGATTTTTCAAGAATCAAGATGGAATCCCTTTCAACAATCTAGCAGTAAAAGATTTCTTAGTGACAGTTTAAAGAATAAATTTACAAAGTTTCAAATTGAAGATGGAATACCTGTTTATCTAAAAGGAGGATTCGCTGATAAAATTCTATTTGGAATTTCATCTACTCTTTGTGCTTTTGGAATTGCAGATGGTATATACTTTTTGTTGTCAATGGCTTTTCCAAAGAAAGCATAATTTGTAATTTTGAATGTAATATTATAGACTGAAGTTAGAAAATAAAATATATATTATTTAAATGTCAAAGGGAATCTTATTCGGATCACCGCTTGATAAATCGCCGCATCCGTGCTATTTCTGGCAGCACAATATATATATAAAATCTTTGACAAGTTGCCTCAATTGTTTGGATCATTATATAATTATACTGAATTTTTTTTACAAATTATTGCAAATGCAAAATGTTTATTGAGGTGTATGTTTGTGTTTACGTATTATTTATAAATTTATGAATTAAAAACCTAAATATAATTGCGGTATTGTGTTTCTTACTGTAAAAGTAAAATAGCTAGCAGACATAATTTCGCATTAGTTCACAATTGGTTAGTTCACAATTTTCTTAAAAATGTGGTGATACGTGAAAAACGTAGACAGGATTACTTTCTGTGGACTGGGAATAATACATAGGTACCTATAAATGATGTACATTTTTATGTGTTTTAAAATAGTGGATAAAAGTACCTACTTACGTACATTTTTCATATACCAAATTAGATAAATACTAGTGAAATGTGGCTAATTTCTGTAAATTGCCAAAATGTCAAAATTAAATGTGAAATATTAATATTTATTAATTGAGATTTGTGTATCCAATTTATATTGAAACGTAGGAAGTTGAATATTTATTTTCTGTTGGGTTAGATACTATTTATAAATAAATTTAAACTCGTTAATTAACAAATAGTCCAGGAAATATAGAGTTGGTCGCAACTTTTTGTTTCGGCAAGCTGAATTTATCACTATAGATGCTAAATGTTATGTACAATAACATATTAGTTTCCACAGTCATAAAAATGGGGGGAAGACTGTTTACAGGGTGGTTAATTTTATAATTTTTACGTAAATTTACGTTTTCGCTTATAACTTTTTTCCGTTCATTTCCACGAAAAAACAGTAAAGTACTTTTTTCGTCTTCAAAAGACCTGCAAAACTAGCCCTCGAGCGTCAAGAAATAGTGATTAGTTCAAAAGTTATAAACAGAAGAAATTTATTTATGACTTTTGAATTAAACATTTATAAACTGCGTTATTATTACCAGAACGTTTTGACATCGCATCCCTAATAACTTACACGAAATCTGGAATCGGTAAGTTAAATAGTTTACAAGTTATGTCCTTATAAACAAATTAACTAATTATTAGTCTGGACGATCCTTAGGATCTTCCACAATCGCACTGATTTTTTTCATGGTAGATTTCATAATAATACATTGAAATATATAATTTTTTTAATTTGAATTTTTACATGTTGCTATATTCAAATTTAAACAGTAAAATTTGGTAAATCTGAGTTTTATATGAAAAAATGGTGGTTTTATATCGAAAAAATAATCCGTTTTCGAGAAATATAGCATTTTTCACGTTGTTTATTACAACGTATAGTGATAGGTTGCCATTAAAATTCATGTACCCATTTTAGCTAAGTATTCAAGAAAATTTTTAAATTAAAAAAAATGCTTAAATATGTTTTTATCGGGAATGGAGCATTTTATCGAAAGAAATAAAGAGTAAGTACCTACCTTTCTAAATCTGAATATTTCAACAAGCAAAAAAATTGGGGCAAATTTCAGCCGACAATCCCCGCAATTGAGACGGCCCTGATNGAACTTATCTTGTGTTTGGAAATCACATTTGCCTTAAATGTTAAATAAAATAAATCAAGTTAGAATTAAAACTATGAATTTACCTAATTAATTATTTATTTTATATCACCTTGGAATGGGAAAATTCAAAAACTCGAAATTAATGTCTTTAGATTTCTGCGTCGACTTCCAATATGGTACGATGTTAACACCTATGTTTAAAAAAATTGCATTATACAGGTTGTGTATCCTTAGATGGGTACTGCCTCTTGTTGATTTGTTGATTTCTTTAGATAGGTAAAATAATTATTGACTCAAGTGTTGCATATCATGGATGTCATTGGTAGTGCTCATATTTGTGACATAAGGTGTTCAAAAAAATTAACACAATGTAAAATTGCTGGAACCTCAAGTAGTTGAATTCGAAATTTATTTAAAAAAAAACAACAAATTATCAATCAATACAGAGATAAGATAATGCGTTCGCTACTGCTGTTGCAATTTTTGACTAACTTTTTTGTTTTTCGACATACTGACTTCGGACCGTTTCCATTCAATGCAGAACGGGCAATCAGAACCAGAGTAGTGGGGAGATTTTTTTAATTATTTTTCAATTCAACGCACCGTTTCCGAATTATCCGAAGACCTTTTTTACTGTATCACCTCACACACCTCTTCTTTCCGAAATTTATTTTCCACATAAGGACTTCAGACCTTTTCCATTCAACGCATAACTGACACACAGAATCCGGGGTGTGGGGAGAATTTTTCAATTATTTTTTTGATTTAACGCACCGTTTCCGAGTTATACGGCCTTTTTACTAAATATAACACGACATACCTCTTGTTTCCAAAATTTATTTTCGACATACGGACTGCGGACCTTTTGCATTCAACGCAGAAGGAACATACAGAACCCGGGATGGAGGGGTTGATATTTTTCAATTATTTTTTCGATTCAACGCACCGTTTCCGAGTTATAAACACTTTTTTATCCTATGATGTCACACACCATTGCTCCCGATTTTTTTTTTTTAGACATGCGGGTTTTGACGTTTTTCACTGGTTCACCATGGGAGATTTATTTGTTCACCATAGGAGATTTTTTGATACTTAGAGTCTAAGCAAATACTGTTTTTTTTTTCTTTCATGTATTGTGACACCCCGCTCTGCGTCACCCACCAATCTACTCACTACTCAGAACCAAGGGGAAATTTGTTTATATTTCCAGCCATTTCCGAGTTACGAGCAACAAGCGTTTTTTTTCTTATACTGTGTAACATCAGATCGATAACGAAGGCTAAAAAGGCCACGCGCTCTACCCCACGCTCCCTCCCTAGGTGTTCTGAAATTGCTGGAGAGACTCCTGAATACAGCAGAGAGAGAGAGAGAGATAAGCTCTCTATGAGGACAGAGTCACTCTATCTCTATGAGGACAGAGTCACTCTATCTCTATCGCACACTATAACCAGGCCCGGTCTGGCTCATTCGGGGGCCGTTGGGGGAAATGGAAATCGGGGCCTATTTAGTTTTGTTTGTTTATTAGGGTGCATATCGACTCTCCCAAGGAAAACTGTCATATCACAAATTTGGTTATACTGAGATAATTGCATTTGAATAGTAGAGAAAATAATAATGTTAGTTATTTTTTTTTATAACTAGAGTTAAATCGTTCTTCTTTAACAAGGTAATTATTGTTTAGGTCTTAATTAATTATTGATGATCTAAATAAAATAGTTTAGGATAAGAAAAGAATTGATTTTGAATGAGTTACTACAATTTTCGTGGACAAAATTTTTATTGAGGAACTACTTGCTACACTAATAAGGTACAGAAAAATTAAACATTTTATATTTTTAGATAAAAAAAATAATTGTNTTTTTTCTTTCATATATTGTGACACCCCGCTCTGCGTCACCCACCGAGTCCTCTACTCAGAACCAAGGGGAAATTTGTTTATATTTCCAGCCATTTCCGAGTTACGAGCAAAAAGCGTTTTTTTCTTATACTGTGTGACATCAGATCGATAACGAAGGCTAAAAAGGCCACGCGCTCTACCCCACGCTCCCTCCCTAGGTGTTCTGAAATTGATGGAGAGACTCCTGAAGACAGCAGAGAGAGTTAAGCTCTCTATGAGGACAGAGTCACTCTATCTCTATGAGGACAGAGTCACTCTATCTCTATCGCACACTATAACCAGGCCCGGTCTGGCTCATTCGGGGGCCGTCGGGGGAAATGGAAATCGGGGCCTATTTAGTTTTGTCTGTTTATTAGGGTGCATATCGACTCTCCCAAGGAAAACTGTCATATCACAAATTTGGTTATACTGAGATAATTGCATTTGAATAGTGGAGAAAATAATAATGTTAGTTATTTTTTTTTATAACTAGAGTTAAATCGTTCTTCTTTAACAAAGTAATTATTGTTTAGGTCTTAATTAATTATTGATGATCTAAATAAAATAGTTTAGGATAAGAAAAGAATTGATTTTGAATGAGTTACTACAATTTTCGTGGACAAAATTTTTATTGAGGAACTACTTGCTACACTAATAAGGTACAGAAAAATTAAACATTTTATATTTTTAGATAAAAAAAATAATTGTTAATAATCAATGACATAAAAGAAGAATTTATTACGATTCATAGTTAGAGTCATCTTCTTGGTCAATATTACTTTCTTTCTGGTGGTCAGTCTTACTATCAGGCCGAAGGGAGTTATAAAATCCATGATACATCGGTGGTATCAAATTAGCCTTACACAGACCCAAAAGACCGCTTAATTTTTTACCATCAATTGGCAGCAAACCTTGATACAATCTTGGAAATTGATATTCTTCGCGTTTGCGTGTATTTTTTGTTTGTAAGTCTAGTTCTTTACAAAATTATCCACAAAAAATACTTTATTGGGAGACTTTGGATTGCAGTGGATTTCTCTGATTTTGCCGATTTTTACAGCCTCCCCAGTAATATCTTTTTTCCAGTTTTGTTTCTTTATTATTGGTTTAAAAGTTACAAAATCTTCTTGAGACATTTCTTTTACTTTGTACTGTGGGGCAGTAATTTTGGCCATTTTTATTATACTAATCCACTGATCAGGACTATCAGGAGTGTATCTAGCAAGAGTGACGTTTTTTGCAACTTCAATTACAGCATGTGGCCAATTTCAAGAAAACGGTGTTTTATCGTCAAATCCAAAGTCATTGATGCATAAGCGAACATTGCAAAAACAAAACGATTACGGTTTTGACCACCGCAATTGTCGAAATAAAGAATAACCTTTCATATGCCATTTTCTTTAACACTTTTTAAAAAGATCCATGAACAACTTCCAATTTCATCCGGTCCTTTCTTCGATATTGCTCATACCATACATAGCAATAGCCTTGATTGCTGCCTAAATCATAAATTGTAAAGTTGTATGTTGC